CATCCTATATGTTTCAGACTCCATCAAGTAGGGTTCAAACTCCATCTCATATGGAACAAACTCCATCTTATACGTTTCAAATGCCACCTTAGATAGTTCAAACTCCATAATATGTTTCAAGCTCCACCTTAAATAGTTCAAACTCCATCTTATATGGTCCAAACTCCATCTAATATGCTGCAAGCACCATCTAATATGGTCCAAATCCCATATTGAGTCCAATCTCATGTTATATTGATCAAACTCCATCCTATATGTTTCAGACTCCATCAAGTAGGGTTCAAACTCCATCTCATATGGAACAAACTCCATCTTATATGGTTCAAATGCCACCTTAGATAGTTCAAACTCCATAATATGTTTCAAGCTCCACCTTAAATAGGTCAAACTCCATCTTATATGGTCCAAACTCCATCTAATATGGTCCAAATTCCATATTATATGTGTCAAACTCGTGTTATATGGATCAAACTCCATCTTATATGGTCCAAACGCCATCTTATTTGATTGAAACTCCATCTTACATGGTTCAAATGCCACCTTAGATAGTTCAAACTCCATCATATGGTTCAAACCACCTTAGATAGCTCAAACTCCATCTTATATGATCCAAACTCCATCTAATATGGTTCAAGCACCATCTAATATGGTCCAAATTCCATATTATATGATTCAAATCTCAAGTTATATTGATCAAACTCCATCCTATATGGTCCAAACTCCACCTTATATGGTCTCTGACTTACATGCAGAGGCGGCCCTAGGGGGCGCTCCTCAAGTGGCGGTGGAGGGGCATTTACAGAGGCGCCTTTGCGCCCCTGGCAAAAAAAAGTGTACCGCAACCGCTTACTTTGCGTAATGGACGCGCCGCCCCTGCTTGCATGTCACTCTTTCCCCAATTCTACTGGAACCATCTCCTGGAACTGGACCTTGGGTAAGTTGCAGAAGCTTCCAGGCAATTGTATCCAGAGAGCTTTCCCTACACTTTTGCCCTTCTATTTCCAAATACCTTTCTTCTCTGAGCTGCTTCGAAGTCCTCCAGAGTCTCCATTATCCTGGTATGTAACATTGTCTCTGATTTGCCTTTCTGTTCTATTACCTACAGTGAAAAAAAAATACACTGAGAAGAGCCAAGAAATCATTGAGCCAGATCACAACGCACTGTGTCAATCTCACACGGAGCATGTAACTCAATTTATTTATTATTTATTTCGGTTACTTCTACCCCGCCCTTCTCACCCCAAAGGGGACTCAAGGCGGCTTACAAAAACAAGGCACAATTCGATGCCCGCATCACATAACATCAATAAGACAAAATAACATCAATTAACAGTAAACAAGAATTCTTGCATTACAACCATAAAACCAATAAAACCAATACAAACCCAATTACTCCTCATTGACGGTCAGCGTTCACTATCTCATAGTTCAAATTCCAATTGCACAATTGTCAGTCCTGTCAGTCCTAGTCGTCTGGTTGTCCTTATCTAGTTGTCAGATTGGCCCCACAACCACGTCTTTACCTTCCTCCTGAAGGAGAGGAGGGATGTTGATGGTCTAATTTCCCCAGGGAGTGAGTTCCACAGGTGAGGGGCCACCACTGAGAAGGCCCTGCTCCTCGTCCCCACCAGCCTCACTTGTGACAGCGGTGGGGTCAAGAGCAGGGCCTCCCCAGATGATCTCAAACTCCGGGGTGGGACGTAGAGGGAGATACGTTCGGACAGGTACGCTGGATCGGAACCATAGAGGGTTTTGTAGGTCAAAACCAGCACCTTGAATTGTGCTCAGAACTGAACCGGCAGCCAGTGGAGCTGACACAGCAGGGGGGTGGTGTGCTCCCTGTACGACGCTCCGGTGAGTAATCTGGCTGCCGCTCGCTGGACCAGTTGAAGTTTCCGAACAGTCTTCAAGGGCAACCCCACGTAGAGTACGTTGCAGTAGTCTATTCGGGATGTAACAAGAGTGTGGACCACTGTGGCCAGATCAGACTTCCCAAGTTATGGGCGCAACTGGTGCACAAGTTTTAGTTGTGCAAAACCTCTCCCAGCCACCACCGAGACCTGGGTTTCCAGGCTCAGCGATGAGTCCAGGATCACCCCCAAGTCTTCAGGGGGAGTGTCACCCCGTCTAACACAGGCTGTAACCCTATGCCCTGTTCGGCCTTACGACTGACCAGTAGGACCTCTGTCTTGTCTGGATTCAGAGATAAGCTGCCATGACTCCACGCTCACATGGAATTAATGACGTGGTAGAGGAACAAGCTGTTCCTCTAGAAAAACCTTATGATGGTAATTAGTATGTGCAGCTGGTAATGTAGGTCAGCCAGCCTTTTGACCATTTGAAATGCATTATATCTTTCAGATGTGTCTCACCCACCTCAGCCAATTGTTTCACTTGAGTTTCCAGAGCTTTGACCTTCTTCTTTTCTTCCTCAACGGCATCCTTCCATTTCTCTTCTTCCAGGGCAACCATCTCCTCCAAAACCTGGAAAAAAGAGTAGCGTGAATTTCTATGGATTTGTGGATACAGATGCCTCAAATATTGCAGATGAGTGTTGGGGTTCAGCCTGAGTTTGAACCTGATTCTCTGTTTGTTCCTCCTGATGCTAATGAAAATATATTTACTGATGCTAATGAAAATGTACTTCTTGATGCCAATGCTCCTGAAATTAGTGACAATGCTCCTGAAATTAGTGAGGAAGAAACTTCTGTAGATTTGGAAAATGAAAGTACCAGTGTTCATGAGAATGTTTCAGAGGGAAGCCATGACCTTTCACTCCCTTCTGCACCTGGGAACCTTAATGAGAATAGAAGGGGCCAGATCTGGCAAGACAGGAGTAAATCACTCAGCTTGCGAAGGTCTTCCAGATTAAAAGAAAAACAAACAACGGCTTCAAAGCAGGGAGGCGTTTCACGAAACCAATTCCTCGGCTTTAAGTGCCTTCCGCCGGGCTGACTTTCTCAGTTCAGGCATCGTTTTAGATTGATGAAGACCTTGGCAGTTCTCCCGGTTCCTCTGGCCATCGTCTTGAGAGATTTCTAGGACACCAAGTACGGTTAGTGGATTGCTAACAGGTTCCAGTATTTTACAGTGTGGCTTTGGGTTTTTGATCTTGTTCATGGACATTCATGTTTGCTGATTTTGCTGTGGCTTTTGACTTTGCATTTTTCCTTTATTTTGTAACCATTTTTCATCAATTAAAAAAAGATTGTTTTTTCCCAGTCAAGTGTGGTGGATAGTTATCTTAGGGCCTCGTCTCCTGCTCTGGGATGCAACAATGACCTATCTTACACACTAAAGTAGACAGAATCACAAGGATCGAAGAGACCACAAGTGCAATTTCAATGTAGAAACAAGGATTGGAGGTAAAGCTTCAGTGGAAATCCCTTTTCCCCTTGATAATAACTCTTCCAAGAGTGAATTTCCAACGTTGCTTCGTCTGGCTACAGATTCTGTACTTGACACTTTTTATCCCCTAATCTACTCTATATACCAAGCGGCCAGGAATGGATTTCTTCTCAGCCTTGACTCTGTTATCACGCTCTCCTGCAATCTGGTAGTAAGTAAGTTGTAGCAGGGCCTTGTGTGTGTGTGTGTGTGTTGAAGAAAAAACTCATGATGGTAATTATAAGTTTGGAAATTGCAGTTAGTCCAACGGGTGGCAGCCAGATTACTAACTGGAGCGACATACTGGGAGCATACCACCCCCTTGTTGTGCCAGCTCCACTGGCTGCCTGTCCACTAGGGCTGGGCGGTTTCGTTTAGTTAATTCGTAATTCGTTAATAATTCGTTAATTTTTTCAATTACAAAACGATAACGAACCATTCTGGAGCAATTATTAAAAAAACGAATTTTCAAAACGTTTTGTAAATGCTTCGTATTTCGATATTGTATTCGTTTCGTTATTGTTTTGAGGTCGTTTCGTTTTTAACGAATTTTCAAAAACTTTTTGTAAATGCTTCGTATTTCGATATTGTATTCGTTTCGTTATTGTTTTGAGGTCGTTTCGTTATTATTTCCGCATGTCTGGGCCAGTTTTATGGTTTAATTAGTGAAAAAAAATTATAATATCACACCAACAGTCAACAACAGAGGGAGAGGGAAGCTTCAGAAGGTTTTGGAGGTTTTTTAGCGTATTTTCGCGGTCGCGTCCGCCATCAACGAATCGATTCGTTATTGTTTCGGAAATCGATTCGTTAATTTTTTACCATTTACGAAATTTCGTAAATATCGAACTTTTTAAAAGGAAAATTTTGTAATTATTTTAAATATCGAAACAAAAAAAAAACCCAAATACAAATCGATTTTAGAAACAAATTTTTCCGTTGTTACCCAGGCCTACTGTCCACTTCCGAGTTCAATTCAAAGTCCTTGTTTTGACCTATAAAGCCCAATACAGTTCTGGCCCAGCTTACTTGTCCGAACGCATCTGCCTCTACATCCCACCTCGTAACTTAACATCATCTGGGGAGGCCCTGCTCTCGCTCCCACCAACATTGCAAATGCGGCTGGTGGGGACGAGAGACAGGGCCTTCTCGGCTGTAGCCCCCGCCTGTGGAATTCGCTTCCAAATGAAATATGATCGACTCCATCCCTCCTGGCGTTCAGGAAGAAATTAAAATCTTGGTTTTGGGACCAGGCTTTCAAACAATAAACATAAAGCAGCACTTTGACTGGAAATAGACTGGCAAGACGATATGTACGAGTCTATGGTTTTATTATTCTATCAGTGGGTTTGTGGACTGAGTATTGTTTTAATGACTGTTATGATAATTTGGTTAATTAATTGCTATTGTTTTAACTTTGTATGTATTTATGGTTTTATACTGTGTTATTGATTGTGGCATCGAATTGTTGTTAGTCGCTCTGAGTTGTCGCCCCCCCCCCCCGCCCCCAGGGGTTGAGAAGAGCGGGGTAGAAATGCTAGAATTAATTAATTAATTAATTAATTATTATTATGTGCAGCTGGTAATGTAGGTCAACCAGCAATCCTTGGACCACACCCAATAGGGTATAACTGTATGGGTTGTACATACAATTTAATGCAAATGCTGTGTGCCATATTTGGTTCAATTCCATCCTTGGTGGAGTTCAGAATGCTCTTGGATTGTAGGTGAACTATACATCCCAGTAACTACAACTCGCATACGTCAAGGTCTATTTTCCCCCAAGAGCGCCTCAAGAGCACCCCTGGCAAAATCAACTCTACCACGAAGGCTTACTTTGCGTAATGGTTGAGCCGCCCCTGTGTGTTGTCAAACCTCCTCGTAAAAACTGCAGGACAATAATATGTTTTCCATACATTCCATTTCCTAGTCACTGCACGAACAAATGTTTGGCATTACGAGAGGGTGCTGATAAGTCTTTGGCTTTACCCGTGGAGCGGCCCAGCATAGTTATGCACAGTGAGCTTGGGGAACAAGAAACATAAGAGCACAACTCTCAGAAGGTCTTTGTTTGATCAGTTTAGATGCCAAACCAAAACCCAAGTGAGTGGAAGGGGATGTGGAAGGGCCAAGAGAGGAGGCTACTCCCACCCCGACTTCTACCTTTTGGTGCTCCTTCTCAGCTTCCAGAAGGTCCTTCTCTTTGCCTTGAAACTCCTCCTGGAGTTGGTCCTTCAGCTCCTTCAGCTTCTCCTGCAGGAAGGTCTCCTGAGATGCCTCAATCGTCTGAAGCCGGGCCATGGTGTGGTGGTGATGGTCCCGCAGCTCCTTTATGTAGGAGGACATTCCTGACAAGGAAAGGAGGTCTGGTTTCATTTCGCTCCTTTGCCAAACGGAGATGAAATTTCACGTCAAGGAAACACAACCCGTCTCCATTGACGCCCCAATTCCAGGTCTCAAATTGGTTATTTATTTATTTATCTATATAAATAAAAATGTAATGTTCGTTTGTATGATTAACAGAACAAAACCACTGGACAAATTGACAGCAAATTTGGCAGCAAATCACATTTTAATCCAATCTATGTCTTTCAAAGAAAAAACCCATATAAAAATGAAGGGGAAATAACTTAAAACTCCCCAAAAAGAAAAATGCCTTACAGAGCATGTGCAAAAGCCCCTCTCCCCATTGCGCGAGAAGAATGAAGCACCAACCGTTGTGAGGGAAGAGAAGCCTCGCCATGGAGTCCCTTTCCACGCAGGAAGGCAGAGTCCTTTTTCTTTTGTTGAGTGGAGGGATTGAGGAAAGGAAAGAAGGAAGGAAGGAGAAGGCCTGGCCCAATGGAGGGGTGGAGGCTTGGTGAGGCAAGCCCCAGCAGCAGCTGGAGCCACCGCAGAGGATCCATGAGGCCCACGTGGCTACCAGGCAACACTTCCCCCAAGACCAGAGGATTGCAAGACAAGCCTGACTGCAGGAGCATCTGCACACCCCAGCAACTCCCCCACTTGGGCTCCACATCCCCCCTTTCACACACACACCCCAAAACCCCACCAGTATTCTTGCAAACTGTCTGAGGAAGCAGGGGAAAGAAAGGGAAAGGAGAGAAGAAAGGTAGAGAAGGATTGGTGAAGAGAAGAGAAGATTATGAATGGAGGGAAAGGTAGAAAGAAAGAAAGGGAAAGGAAGGGAAAGGAAGGGAAAGAAGGAGGGAAGGAAGGAAAGAGGCAAGAGACAGGGAAGGAAGGAAGGAAGGAAGGAAGGAAGGAAGGAAGGAAGGAAGGAAGGAAGGAAGGAAGGAAGGAAGGAAGGAAGGAAGGAGAGGGCAGAAAGTACAGAAGTTCACAAGGGACAAATGCAAGATACTCCACTTTAGCAGGAAAAACGAAATGCAAAGATACAGAATGGGGGATGCCTGGCTCGAGAGCAGTACGTGTGAAAAAGATCTTGGAGTCCTCGTGGGGAGGAAGGGGAACATGAGCCAGGAATGTGATGTGGCGG